TATAAAAATAAATAGTTTTCGTTAAATATTGAAATTTTAAATATTTTGCGACCAGTGAATGATTGAAAAACAGAACCGGAATGAACGTTACTTTATCAATTTTAAACTTCAATAGATGAATTTGAAGATATTACTCTATGTTTAGAGATTTTCATTATATCACTCCAACTCAAACAAGTTCTGTCATGTGTAATCCATCGAGAACAAATATCCAAAAATTGAACAAAAAGTTTCCAAATATTCATTGCAGTGATGATGCAATTCCCTAGCAATTAATCACTTTACAAATTCATACATCCTTTCAAAAATGATCAGCGATGATGAGTGAAGACATAAATATCACAATAATGAACAATTTGAATACGAAATTCAGCAAACTAAAACATTAGCTGTAACTTCGAAAAGAAATAGACCCGACGAAGAATATCGAATAAATTGTGTTTTCTTTCAGTTGGCATAAACATCTTCAAAATGATGCGCAAATATAACAGAATTCGAAAATGGTCAGACGGTGATCCTATGAGGAATGGATGACTGATTTCATCTATGAATTGAATATTGACGACATATACAAACGTTCAATGAGAATTGTATGAAATGAGCAGAGAATAGCGCCAAAANATCAATGAGTGACTTATTCGAGGAAAATATGCACTGAATGGAGGATTACCGATTGACTGAAGATTCGACAATATGAAAGACCAATTTGCGATTGAAACAAGAACCATTTGCAGGAACATAACATTTAGGCTCGAATACACAACTTTAAATCAATTAACATTGTTTCATATTTACGCTCAGATTCAATAGAATAAAACAAGGCACATATTATTACAATTTCATGAAATATGCAGAATCGATTTCGAATGAAAATGAACCGAACTGAATTAATTCAAAACGATCACCGAACTGAGCGAACCACTAAAAACGCATACAAAACATGAGATGTAATCGAAACAAATGTGCATCCAGCACGTACAGGTATTGTGAATATGTATAATTCTAATGAAACAAGATTCACCGCAAACAAAATTATACAAATGAGACGAATGAAATGAGCTGTAGAAACGAGTGAAATTAGGGATGCGAAACGAACTTTCTCGAAGCGAATTCATTTTTAAAAAAACGTTGAGAGATAATCACGAAACAAAATGACAAACAGTAAATCAATGATTGAAACAGCGTAGATCTGTGTGAAGAGAATTTGACTAGCTTGGGATTACTTCGAACATGAATAATACCTAGAACTAAGAGGTGAGTGAAAGCAATAAACACATACATTTACGAGTCTGTGCAAAGGTTGAAGAAAATCCACCTAGAAAATGAGTCAACGAGTGCGGCGAAATGAAATGAACCACCGATAAATTACTTATTTTGATCAAAATACTGATAAGAGAATGGCAAAAAAAGCTCAATAAATACTCCGTTTGCCTGGAATAAAGTTTTCCGTTTGAGATGAAAAACAATTTCAAAGAATTCGGAACATAATTCGACGTTTTTTTGACGATCCATTGAAAAAACAAAAAATCTATGCTATAAAATCATGTATCAAAATCTCAAATAAAACGTAGATGTATGCAAACTGTGAAATATTTCACAATGAAGATGTGATTAAGTCTGGAAAATTTCTACAGGAACGAAGATGGATGTAATCAGAAAAGGAACACCATGGTTTTGATTGATAATGCAGATTTCTCAGATTAACAAGTTTTTTTTGAAACTCTCGTCGAAAAGAATTTTTGCAAACAACAATATGCAGAATCCATTTTTGAAGAGAATTAACCAAACTGAATTCTAGTAAGAAAATTTCAAAACAAAGATTTCTAAAAAAAACCTGGAATTTTCTCAAACCTTTCTATACATAACGGTAGGTAACGGAAGCAAAACATACACAAACGTGGTTGATTATATTCCGGATAAAACGAAACTATTAAAAAAGCGAATCATCATGATTAAAAAACCTGGCTAATATTTGATAGAAGATGTCCATTATCCAGTTCGCAAAGTAATTCTTGGAAAAAATGGATCGCAATTAAGAATTTTCATTTCGTTCTTCAGAAATCAGAATTTCGGAATTGAATTTTATCAACCTAGAATGGCCGACTAGAGAAGATTATATATGCCGTCCACCGGGAATACTTCAACACCAGCTACTGGACGACATTCAAAAAATGTTGGCTTTCCACTGTAGTTGTCCTGAAGCAATGGATTTCTTTAAAGATTTTCTT